TTCCACGTCTCTGCCCCTTCTGCTGGTCTTGAGGTGACTTCTGTATGTCTATAGTTGTAGGGCTTCAGTTTAGCCAGATTTCAGGCAATTCTCAATGGTTTTATAGTTGTAAATTTGATGTGGCTGTGAAAGAAGGTAAGCACAGCATTTACCTAGTGCACCATCTTGACCAGAACTCAAATGATCATTTTTATATTTTGAAATTTAGACTGAAAGTTGCCATAAAAATCTTGTTAATAGTGCTGAGGAACTAGTGTCAGGTGGCTCTTGCCAGCAGATGGGACTTCAGGGCTTGTAGAAATGATCAGGCCATGAACCCCCTGTGGTGTTAGCAGTTACAAGAGCTTTGGGAGACCCCTGAATCTAAAATTCCCATCGTCCTCGAGTCAGGGACAGGTGCGGGGGTTAGGGTCCAGGCACAGTGCTCCCAGCTCCTTGCCTGCAGTGCTGGAGAGAAGGGCTCCTTTAATAGAACAGTTGAGAGCCCACCGGTGTGGGTGTTACTTGTGCTGTAGGGGAACCAAGTTTAGGTGGCAAGTGGAGAGCTCCAAGCTGGGCTGAGTGGCATGGGTGTGGGAACTAAAACCCTTGGAAGGAGCGAGTCCAGCTTTCCAGGTAGCACCCTGCACACACCTCAGGGGGGCAGTGTTGCATAATTGCTCGACGTCCCTGAAGCTGTTCAGTGTCTTAGAGTTTCACTGCAGCCCATTCAGGGTGGGAGCTGCCTGTTAGATCTAGGCTGAGGGTGCTAGTTTTTCCAGAGGTTGAGGGAAAGCTGGCTCATCCTGGGATACAAGCAACCCCCCTGTGGCAAGGGCTCGGCAGGCCTGTCTGTGTCAGATTGACCTGGTGGGGCCACGTCCTCCACAGCAGAGCATCATGCGAAGCATCAGGCAGTTTTGTTAGCAAGTGGATTCTAAGCCCAGGTGGGGCATCAGCTGCCTGTGCTGCTGCTGGTCCCACATCACACAGCTGTGCTCTGGTTGTGCAGACTCCTTTCCTGCTAATTTCCTCCACTGTGAAGGGGAACTTTCTTCACAGTGCTAGCTAGGAGTTAAGCAAAAGGCTGCTCCCGGGAGGCTGGTACCTGCATAAGCATTTTTGTTTTATGAGCACAGGCCCTGGCTTTTGTCCCACTTGTTCGTTTTGTCTCATGATGCTTAGAGATCTGAGCACAAACTTGACTGTTTCAGAGGCTGCTCTGAGTCATTGGGAGAGCCAGGGACAAACGTCTTGGAGATGACTGCTGACATTAGCATGCATGTGCTATAGGCCAGCTGCTGTTAGGTGACAAATTGTCCCATTTTCTTTATAGGTGGGGGGTGGGGACAGGGATCTGACCCTGTGTCTTGCGACTGGGACTTGTCACCTTCACCACGTGCTGTGCTTTATTTAAAGACTTAGAACTCGAAGCTCTGCTGTGCCCCCTTAGCATCCCCAAAGGGAGAAAGGAAGCTCCTGAGAAGTTTTTTCGAGTTAGTGGAGCTTTTGTCTCACCATTTCTTTTGTCTCAGGCCTGCACTGGTTTTGTAGCTTCTCCTTTTAAGGATATCTGTTGCACAAGGAAGTATTAGCTATGGCCCCATCTCATGAGAAGCATTTGGTTCCTGTGAAGTTTCTACAAAAGCCTGTTGACGCTGGAGATCATGCCGTTTTTTACTTTTTCCGTGCAAGTCACTTGTACAGAAGTTGAAAGATGTCTGTTTTGGGGCGCAGTTTTATTAGAATCTGTGAAAATGCACCCTGACAGTTTGCCTTCACAGAGACATCGGGAAGTCCAGCAGAAGGCACGCCACACCTGTGGGCACGCCAGGACAGGTAGAAGATATCAGGGTGTGAGCAGATAGGGCACAGGGTGTGAGCAGATAGGGCCATTGGGATCACTGGGTGTGGGAAGAGGAAGGACAGGAGAGGCTGCATGGGACCTTTGAGGGCCAGGCTGGAGGACAGCAGAGATTCTAATGTTAGAAGTAAGACCGTCCATTTCCATGCTAAGTTTTGATCACTAAGGCCCTTGGAAGGTGATAGATGAGAGGCAGGTGAGATATTAGGCACAAGCCAGGTGGCAGTGAAGTTGGGAAAGCAAGGAGGGTGCTAGGCAGTCTAACTCTGGGCTTTATGGAATGTACTAGAATTTCTTGTTTTCTGGGTAGGCTGCTGCTGCTGCTGCTGCTGCTGTATGTCAAGATACAGACAGTGTTGGTAACCGGAAGACGGCTCCGCTTGTAGAAGTGTTAAGGTCCTCGCAGAATGACACCTCGAGGACTAAATGAGGCTGGAATTGTAAGACTCAAGGAGACTTAGTAGAAGAGGGTTGTGGGTGGAGGCTGAGCACCAGCATTTATTTTATGGGGATGGCTGGATTAAGGAGGACTGGGGCACAGGACAGTGGGGGGTTCAGGCTGGTCCCCACTTTGAGGGCAGCTCAGCTTTCCTCCTGCAGTCCGAAGTAGCATTAGGAGCCTTGCCAGTGGCCACATCTTAGCTCCTGGGTCGCTTCCTTCTGTAGCTGACCGCCTGTTTCCTTCTGTTTGGTGACTCAGGAGGTGAAAATGGGGACGTGTTACAGACTCTCAGAATGACTATATCCACCCTTCAAGGAATGTGTAGGGACAAACACTGCATTGACTGTCACCTCGTGAGGGTATTCAAAGGGAAGTCGTCTGCGCTTTGTTCATTGTGGGCTGGTGTATCGGGAATGGCACAGACCACCTTGCGCCCTCACACCTTGGTCCCTTGTGTCTGATTATCTAACTCCCAAGGCCCCTCCTTGGGGCCTGCCTGTTGCTTTGCACACTGCTTCCTTCCCCTCCCCCCCTACCCCGTCCCCCAGAGTAGAGAGAATTTGAGTGCAAAGTGTACTCGGGATGTTGGCTGAGGATCCTGGTTCCCTAAGAGCCTTTAGAAAGGCTCCTTAAGTGCTGCTTCCTGAAGATGGATACAGTTGACGCTTGAACATGGTTTGAATTGTGCAAGTCCTGTTATCCACGCGGTTTTCTCAGTTGGGTGCACAATTCAAGTGTGAGTTGTTCAAGGGTCAACTCTGCTGTAGGGAAAGCCCATATGCGGAGGGCTGACTAGTTTTATCTGGATTCACAACTGCGAGAGGTCAGCGCCCCTAATTCCCATCTTCAAGGGTCAACTACTGTTTGCCTTCACAGGCAGGAATTCCATCAAGAGAGGAAATGGCTATGAGAGTTCATTTCTGAAGTTTTGCTTTTGTGGCTGGTGTGTTTTCTGGGCAAAGTGTAACCCTATAACCTCTTCCTTCGGGTGGTGGGAGGGAACCTGCTGGGTCACTGCCAGTGCCAGAAGGGACCCTGGGGTTGGATTTGGTGGCTGTGGTCTTTTGACCTAATGTTTAGATGATTCTCCCCCCTTGAAAACTGCTCCAAGTGTACAATTCTTTTCCCATGGAGAAAGTGAAAGCTAGAGAAGCTATGGATGGTAGCCAAGTGTCTGTCCTCAGTGCCCTCTGACAAATCTGGCTCTCGCAGTTCCACGCCCTTTCATATACCTCAGAAGTTTTAACTTCAGAACACAGGACCCACTGTAGTCTGCAGGGCAGAGTCTGGAAGAGCGAGTGCTGTGGTGACTGAGGCAGGGGGAGGCTGCTGCCCCATGATAGCCCCTGGGCATCTGGGTATGTAGCTTACCAGGCCCAGCGGGGAAATGAACCACACGAGGACAAGCTGGTTTCTTACATATATTGTGTATCGAAAAGACGTATGCACCACCCCCTTGGCAGTACAGCAGCGGCTGGGAGGACGGCTCAGCTCCTCTCCAGGTCGGCTACCAGGTAGGGCTGGCTGTCCCTCAGGGCCTGAAGGAGCAGGTCCTTGCAGGCCGCATTCCAGGCTGGGGCAAAGCTGAAGAGCTTCCTCATCTTGGTGGGATTGGTGGGCTCGGCGCGCACTGCCTGGTACTGCTCCTCCGTCAGGACCCTTCTGTGCAGGGCATCCAGCACCCCATCCACATCTGTGACCCGCGAGATGAGGGCAGCCCGGTGCTGGTCCACGAAGTGCAGCGCTGGGGGGGGGGGAAGGAGAACATGTGGGCGGGCATCCAGGCAGGTGCTGGCCTGTAACTACACCCACGGAAAGCTGTGTCCCAAGGGTGGGGCTCGGGGGCAGCCCATCAGGGCTCACACAGTGGGATGCGTGTAACTCTTCATCCAACTAGGCTCCGCCCAAGGCGGGGTGAGTGGTTGGGTGGGTGGAAAGGACTGGCCCAGCACTGCTCTCCTGGAGCTTCTGGCCGTGGGACCATAGACAGTCTGTGCAGGGTGGTGTGGGGCAGGGCTGGAGGTGCCCAAGTAGGGGAGGTTGGGTGTGAAGGCCTCACCTGGCATGCCTACCGCCTGGGAAGAGGGCTGGATCCCAGCTGGTACGTCTCCAGCGCCTGTAAGGAAATAGGTCAAGTGGTCCCCTTCCCTTCCCACCGTTTCTCTAGGCTCGGGTCAGGGGCCCCTTGGTCCGGAAGCCAAGGTCAGGAAAAGACCCGGAAGCTTCCCTCCCCAGCAGCAGGGGCTTCTAATCAGAGAGTAGGAAGAACAGGAAGCGAAAGAGTCCGAGGGCAACGTCCGGGTTGGTGGGTAGATGGAGCCCATGGAGGGGGTGTGCTCACCCTGGCCCATGACTTCCTGCAGCCGCAGGGCCAGCTCCTTCATGCCTATGTCCCGCAGCACGGTCGCTGTGAGCTCGGCGCCGTACCCCTCCAGGTAAAAGCTGACCAGCTTGTCTGTGAGGTCCATGGCGTCCAGGGACAGCAGCGTCCCCCGTGGGATGCGCCCGTAGCCGTCGCGCAGCGGCACCGAAAGCAGCTTCATCTTGAACCTCTTGAGCTCATCAGCGGTCAGGTTCTCCAGAGCCTCCTGGATGGCGTCGCGCGCGCACCCCATGGCTCCGGGGTGCCCTGCCGCCGTTGCCGCTCACCCGGGGTGTCAGTCGAAGAGGAAGTCAGACCTGTAGCTCCCCGCCTTCTCCTGCCTCCCGCCTTCGCCCATTGCTCTGGGGCACCGGTATCGGGTGCCTCCTACCGCCCCATTGGTTCCCACCCACTGAGGTTTCAGGGCTCAGTTCCCTGGCCTTCAGGGGGCGCCAGCATCCCATCTTCCCGCTGCTCGGCGAGGCGGGACCCGGAAGACCCGGCGGAGAGTGGCTCGTGGGTGGCGCCTGCGTCTCCAGGCTTGCGCTGGCTAGCACAGACCAGAACCCCAGTTTACTGGAGCGCCAAGGCTTAAAATCTTAGAATTATAGAACCTTGAAGTCTCCACGTTTCCCTGAACTTAGCATCTTCTCGCACACGCCATAGAGTCTTAGCATCATAGAATCCTAGCAGCCAGAATCTTGTAGCTCCCCAAATTTCACATACTGGGGAGAAATGTGTAAAAAAAAGGTGATAAACTGTGTGTGTTTCATCTCTGCCAGCCTCAGTTTCCTTATCTGTAAAATGGGAATAACATTTGTTCATTCACTTACAAATATTCCAGCATGATGTGGGCTAACTGTTGGCTCCTAAAACCTTGCCAGATGCCTTCTGGGAGAGCCAGGATTTGGTCCCAGGAGCTGAATGTCTTGGGAAGTGATGACAAGATACACATGAAATGGTTGAGAAAATTCTCGACTGGAGGGAAAGTCATGGGTGGAGAGCCACTCTGGGCTCAGGGGCCTGACCCAGAAGAGCAGATGAAAGGTTGCACACGTGGGGATGGGAGCCCAAACAGTGCCCAGAATCCCTAACTTCCTCAGCATGGCTGTGAAGGCCCTGCTGGTCCGCCCTGGCTCTCACCAGCCTCGTCTTAAGCAACACCCTGCTCTCCATCCATCTCCGAGGCCCGTGCTATGGGATGGGCCACAGTGCCTGAAATGTGCCAGGCTCCTTGCTTCTTTAAGCTTTTGCACATGCTGTTCCCTCGACCTGGGAAACTTCCCTCACTCTGGGTCTGACAAACTCTAGGTCTCAAGTTCAATGTCACCTCCTCAGGGAGACCAGGTTCAGAATCCCTCCCAGTGTAGCTCATAGCACCTGCTCCTTTTCTGCAGCTCTCATAACAACTGTGACTAAATTGTAACTAACTGTGTTTGTTTGGCATCAGTCTGCCCTGTCAGTCTGTAAATCACACTTGTCCACATCCTTGTATCCTCAGGATGCAGAACAGTGCCCGGCCTTTAGTAGGGAGGCAAGGGACAAGGGGCTGGGGACACAGCCATTCCTCTCCTAGAACTGGAAGCCTCACTCCTGCAGTGGGGTCAGGCTAGCGCTTGGTAGGAACAAGTGACACCTTTTGGCAGGTGGCTGTGCTCATTGTAGACTCTGAACTAAGGAGACAGTTTTTGAAGACTATTTTATTCTAATAACATGTATTAAGATGCCCAGCCGCATGATAAGTGGAAGACTAATAATAGCAACAACAGCTTCCATTTTTTGAATTTCCTGTTCCAGGCACTTGCTGAGCACTTAACATGCATAATCTTACTTAATTCTCCCTGTAAGCCCCGGAGGTATATTTATCCTGACTTACAGAGGAGAAAATGCTGGTAGTAAATGAAACGCTGATTGAACCCATGTCCATCTGACTCCTAAGTCAACCAACATCTTAAAAGTCTGAATGTGTCCTCACTAATTGACAAATTGCTTGGAGAGATAATATAGATAGAAATGTATGCCTCCAGGCAGGAATGGTAATGATAATATTAACTTCCTCCTCTTTGCAGAATGCTCTAGAACTTGTAAAGCACATTCAGAAGATAGTGGGAAAAGCAAGAAATGAGGGGGGTGGGACCCACACAAATTTGATTTTCAGACCCTCTACCTCTTAGCTATGGGACATATGGAAGGGTCAGACCCTCTCTGGGGTCTGCACCCGTGTCCTTAATACACTCATCTCACTGAAAAGGGCAGCGAGTTGCCCAGGGCACCCCAGGGAGGCAGAGGGAGAGCCTGTGAAGGTGGGGAATTAGGAGCCTTGGGCAGCTCTCTGTGAAGCCATGGTAACCCCTTCTCCTTTTACCTTCTCTGGGGAAAGTCTCAGAGCCCTGAGCTTTGGCCCCTGGCAGGAAACAACCTCCTCCAGTCTTAACCTCAGGCCCACCCTTGCCCCTGGCCTAGAGCCAGAGCAGTTGGTAGGAGGCTTCCTGGGTGTGACCCTCCACCCAACAAAAGTAACCCTTTGGTTGCTGGAGCCAGATTGCTCCTCCTGGGGCCAGAAGGACTACAGGCTGCTGGGGACTTTGGGCAAATCACTTAATCTCTTTGTGCCTCATTGTCTCCCTGTAAAATAGGAACAATGGTGGGGTGGTTGTGAGGTTATACATGGATTAAGAATGATGAAGTGCTTGGAACAGGTCCAGCACATAGTAGGTGCTTTTGTCATTGTTAAAGTTTATGATGCTCAGTTCCCCAATTTGTGAAGTGGGGGTGATGTTATTGATCTTACAGTGTTCTAGGGAAGATTCACTGAAACAATCAGTAATAATAATTGCAATAATATCAATAGCCAACATTTATTGAACATTTTCTCTGGGCCTGGCATTGTCTGTTCTAAGAGCTTTCTTTACATGAATTAGCTTGTTGAATCTTTATCACAATCCAGTACTCTGATACTTAAATGATCCTCATTTTACAGCTGAGCAAGTCAGGTTAAGTGATTTGCCCAAGTTCACACAACAAAGAAAGAGCAGAGTCAAAGTTGAACCTAGTAGCACTTCCTAAGCCCTTTGGGGCCAACACACCGTCCCTGGTGTTTGTTATCCAGTTTAATCCTCTTGACAGCCCTTCAGGGCGGCATTATCCTACTTATCCTTATACTGCAGCTGAGGATGCCAAAGTCCAAAGAGGTTGGTGACGTCCTCAGTGCATGCGCTCCCGATGTCAGCATGCTGGACCTGCGTCTGCAATGGCCCTGCCAGGGACTTCTGGCTTGCTTCGGCATTTGTCCAACCCAAGGGGCTCTCATCTCCCGGGCACTCATCATTGCAGCTGTTAGGAAGCTCTCCCTTAGCACAAGCAGAAACCTGTCCCCTCTGAGCTCCGTCAAAGGGCAGCCACACTTGTTCTCCCCTTCTTCCCTAGATGTGGTTTCTGGCCCCTTCTTGTCCTCCAACCTGCTGTAGACAATCAGTGTCCCTTCCATAGGTCAGAGGTGAGACCTGGCCCATCGAGAGAGAGGGACTGTGTTGACTGTCACCTCCCTGTTCTGGGTACCCACTCAGGAACCTTCAGCCCCAGCCTGACAGTGATGGAAACTCGAGGTGAGATGGACATTCAGGATGTGGGTTTTTCTGAGCCAAAGCAAAGTGGCTTGTGGGTTCAGAGACCAGCTCTAGATGCTCTTATCCCCACCTACTCCTGTTTGCTAACCCAAGGCCAAGTCTGAGTCATCAAAAATGGCAGAGAGAGGGCCAGCCGAGTGGCGCGTTGGTTAAGAGCTGGCTTGGGACAGGAGAGGGCCCCGGTTCAGATCCCACATATGAGGGCCAGTGACACTGCCCTCTACAGCTAAGATGGTGAACAACAGCTCAACCTGGAGCTGGGCTGCCGTGAGTCGCCAGCGACAGCACGACGTTGTAGGCTGCAGCCCCTGCGGCAGTGGGTTGCCATGGGCTACCGTGTGTAGCCAGCAGCCAGTGTGAGCGGCCAGCAGCCACAGTGAGCAGCTGTCCAGAAGCCGGCGACTGATCTGCCTCACCCAGGAAGAGCACAATAATGGTGCCAACTTGGGCCAGTGAAGCAACGTCCTCCACAGCTTGACTGAAGAACAAAGGGACAGCAACTTGTCTGTTCCCCTTTCCCCAGTTCCCCAGCGCTGTTCCCATACCCCAATTCCCCAATAAAAATCTTAAAAAAAAATGGTGGAGAGAAAATCAGAGGCTTAGAGATAGAGGGGGGACATCAAACTTCTCTTCGGTTTCCCAGGGTTCTAGTAAAAAAGCCCTGGCTTCTTGAGGCTGCTCACATACTGTGCGATTTAAATCTGGAGTCATTTGAATAGTTAATTGCTTTGATCCAAAAGAATAATAAAACTTCTCTTATCTCTCTCTGATAGGCCCAAATAATTATAACCTGTACAAGGTTCTTAGGTTAAGCCCCCAAGGTGCCAGGAAGCCTGGGTTAGCCTCTTAAACTGGCCCATATGGAACATGCATAGAGCTTCAAGCACTCAAGAAGAAATGGACCCCAGGACTTGGAGATTTGTCATAGCCAAGATGTGCAAGGAGCTGAATCCTGGGATTTATTTACCTGCTAAAGAATTAGAGTAAGAAAAAGGGAATAGCTGCCTCCTTCCCCTTTATAAGTAGGAAAAATATTTTTTGGTGCTCACCAATGGGGCGTCTGGCTACTCAAGTAGGATAAGATACCTGGCTCTCATCGCGTTACCCTAGGGCATAGGGGGCCAAGCCATTTACAATTTACTGTGAGTTATTTAATGAGAAGTCTGTCTCTGATTCAGAACACCTTGTGTGCACATTTGGGATTAAATTAATACACATGAACATTAAAAACCCAAGTGAGGCAAAGTGAGTCCAAAGGGAAAATTAAGAGACAGAAACTCTGGGAGACAGAGCATGGTCTAAGGAGAAAGAGTAAATCAGTGAAAGGCTGAGGGAAGCTGGGAGAAAATTTGACTGGGAACCCAGAAGCGCAGGACCGAGTGAGTGAGTGAGTTTACTCATTTGCAGCATATTTATCGAGAACCTGCTGTGTGCCACACACTTTATTATAAGTTGGAGACAAGCAATGAACAAACTTATATTCTGGTAGGAAGAGACAGGTAAAAAACCAAGTTAAGTACACTGCATGTCAGATAGTGATAAATGTTAGGAAGAAAATTAAAATCAGGGAGTTAGGAGAAGCTTCTCTGAAAAGGTGACATTGGGTAAAGATCTGAGGGGGGAATCAGTGCAGTACCTGGATTTGAAAGAGTTCCCCAGGCAGCGGGCATGGCAAGTGCAAAGGCCAATGGGGGTAGCAGGGGTGGGAAGGGTGGGGGGGAGGGGAGATAAATGGGGTCAGATTGGGTAGGGCTTTGCAGGTCGCAATGAGGACTTTGGTTTTTATTCAGAATGAAATTTAAACTGAGATTTGAAGGATCAGCATACAGGAAGTCCTGAGGTTCCCAGGGCAAGGCTTGGTGATTCATTTCGTTCATTTATTCAACTGTCACCCATCACTCATTTTCCAAGCATTTAGGGAGGCCCATTGCCTAAGGGCTTGTGCTGGGCCGCTGGAGAGATCTACAGAAAAAAGTCTCCCCCTGCCCCCCCTCCCTGTGAGCTCTGGAGGAAGGAAAACCTTTCAGGCTGGGGTGAGGTCCTGTCAAGCAGGTGGAGATAGATAATACTGTCAGTGTGACCTTGGAGAGCCCTAAGCTTATAGAGGAAATAAGTGGGTGACAAGCTGGGGAGGGGCGATACCAGGGAAGGGGGAAGCTGGAGAGTATGAAGGTGGGGGTGGGGAAGAAAAGGGGACCCCTCCCAACCATGTTTCTGCCTTCTCTGTGGTATTTGAGGCCCTGTCTCTTGCTGGCTCTGAGCCCTGGCTCCAGACTGGGGGACACTGAGGGGACACTGAGATGGGCCAGGACAGGTGGCCTTGACATATGATATTTGTTCCCTGACCCACTCAGTCCTCACTTTTAGAACGGTTTCCAGAAGTGATGGAAGGAGTGGGCAGGGCGGCTAAATATAGTTCTGGGGTCAGGGCTCAGTCTGGGAGGGTCTGTCTGCTATTCACTGCGGGTGCCGTGGTGTCCACAGCTAGCTGCCCCTGAGCATCCCCTGTCCTTGCTCTGAGCTTGCTGCTTGCCCCTAACCTATCTGGAGACACAGCGCTGCCTGCCCCGGCTCCCACGGTTAGGCCTGACTTAGACTGAGCCTCCTGGGAGTTTCTTTTTGCCTAAGATCTCCAACCAGACCTGTGAGTTGTGTGGATCCTGGGGGCCTGGAGATATGGGGAAGGGGAGGGCTGGAGATCCTAGAGTGGTTCGTGAGAGGAGGGTAGGAGGTGAGGGTCTCTGGAGAATTGGGGGCTAAGAATTTGGGGCTAAGACAGGACAAAGACTGGGTTTGCGCCGCGGGCTTCTGTTTAGGAACTAGGCTTGAGACAATGTCCCTAATAGGGGATGTTTTGGGGGGCTGGGGCTGAGAACTGCAGTTGAGACTGAGTCCCCCTTACCCTTGGCCAGAACCAGAGTCCCTTCCCCTTGGGGATGTGAGGTCTTTATAGGCTGGGGCTGCTGCGTTTGGGGCCTCAGGCCCGGTCCGGGCCTGTGGCTGGGCGGGGATCGCGGTCCCGCAGAGCCTCCCCTGATCAACCTCTCCTCTACCCAGGCCCGCCATGTCGGCTGCGCCCGGCCTCCTGCACCAGGAACTGTCCTGCCCGCTGTGCTTACAGCTGTTCGACGCGCCCGTGACCGCCGAGTGCGGCCACAGTTTCTGCCGCGCCTGCCTGAGCCGCGTGGCAGGGGAGCCGGCTGCGGACGGCACAGCGCCCTGCCCTTGCTGCCAGGCTCCCACGCGGCCGCAGGCGCTCAGCACCAATCTGCAGCTGGCGCGCCTGGTGGAGGGGCTGGCGCAGGTGCCGCAGGGCCACTGCGAGGAGCACCTAGACCCGCTTAGCATCTACTGCGAGCAGGACCACGCGCTTGTGTGCGGAGTGTGCGCCTCGCTGGGCTCGCACCGCGGCCACCAACTGCTGCCCGCCGCCGAAGCTCACGCGCGTCTCAAGGTGCCGGACCGGACCCCGGCGCCCGCCGGCAGGGGTCGGGATTGAATGGGATTGCACTGGGCGGGGCCTGGCCCATCAGTTGGCTTTATCGATTTGGACTCTGAGCTTCAGGGCCCAGGGCGCCAGGAGTTACGGGGGGCGCGGGCCGGGTGAGGCGCTAGGGAATCTGGAGCTGACGAGCAGAAGGCGGGGCCAGGCGGAAAGGGCAGCCTTGGAGACTCGCAGGGCGGGCCCTGGCGGGATGGACACGGCGCAAACCTAGATGGAGCGCGCCGTGAGATGTGGGGCGCAGTAACTGAGCCAAGTCTGATGAGCTGGGGGCGGAGTGGAGGACTGAGTCCCGGCCTGGAGGGGGTGCGCCGTGGCACTGCTGAGGCCGCAGGCCCTGGGGAGACGGGATGGGCGGGGCTTAGGGCGTGGCCAGGAGTCCGGGGTGGGGCTGGCCAGCGCAGCACAGCTGCCCCTCAGAGGCCCACTTGCGTCCGGAGCTGCCGAATTTGTGCGGGCCTGACGGTCACCAGACAGGGCCTAACCGAAGGGGAGGCGGGGGGGGGGGGCAAGGCACGCCTGGGCACGCAACTCTGTGCACAGGCCCAGGTTGGCACCGAGACCCAAGTCCAGACTGTTTTTCTGGTTGGAGCTGGAAGTCCTGAACGCTTCCAGAGCGCACGCGTAGTTGTGCACGCTGCAAGGTTTGCGATCCCCAGAGGTACCCCGCAGACACCCAGACATTGGCAAACGGAGACACAGGCACACACTGGCTCGCCCACGCCATACATGTGGCAAATCACGTGCAGGCCTACACAGGCACAGGAAGGTCTGTCACAAAGCATTTATTGAGCTGTGGAAGAATGAACGACAGGTGCAAGGGTGGGAGGAGACAGAGTCTGGAGGCACCGAGAGATCCTTTGTCCCCGCCGTGGAGAAGCTGCTGTCGTCTTCCTACGACCGGTGGTCGGGGTGAGCTTCTGCGGGTTGCCTTTGCCCACGAAAATCCGTGTTGCTCTGCATCTCTCCTTGGCTCCCAGACTCCTTGAGTGGGGACACCCCAGTCCTCAGGCTCGTATTTGAGGCCCCCAGACTACCCTAGGGGTCCAGCATCAGCTTGCCTCTCACTCCTGCCTTGCCCAGTCCAGCCCAGTGTTGGCTGGCCATCTCCCAGCCCAAAGCCGTCTCCTCCCAGGAGCCCTCCCAACGCAGGCTCACCTCCGCTGAAAACCGCATAACTCCCAACTTCGTCCACCTTTATCTGCGAAGAAAGAACAGAATCCTTGAAACGGGACAGGGCACCAAGAGTCCTAGGAGCCTCCAGGGGGCAAGTGGGGTCAGATACAGTCTGCTAGGGTCCGCATGGGCTCAGCCTGGAGCTGCAGGGAGGTGCTGGCCAGAGGTCTGAAGGGTCTTCAAGAAAGAGCCTGAAGGAGGAAGGGGACAAGAAGGCTGGGGCGGGACTGAATGCCTGGGTCCTTGGTGAGGAAGAGGGGCTGGGGCCAGACTTGACCCTTGGGTAAGACTCAGGAATAGTTGAATGGAATCTGCCTGGCATGGGAGACTCACTGGAGCTCCTGAAGCCGGGATGCCTCTTCCTGCATGCCCATGTCTGTCAGCACATCTGCGGCGACCTTGGCGCCGAAGTCTTCGCGGTAGAAGGCCACTATCTTGTCAGTGAGGTCCACTGCGTCCAGCGACCCTAGTGCGCCCCGTGGGATGTTGCGAAAGCCATCGGGCAGCGACACCGCTGCCAGCTTCAGCTTGAACTTCTTGAGTTCACTGGGATCCAGGTTCTCCAGCACCTCCAGGATTGTGTCGCGTTTCTTTCCCATGGCTTAGCCTTGCCTGCTCTGAACGTCTGACGGCTCTGCTCCCAGAGCCACCAGGCTGGCTTTATCCTGGAGCAGGTGGGGCTGTTCCCCTGGAGGACGTCCAAGGGAGGAGATTGTCCTGGCGACTGGCCAGGGAAGCCATGGTTCAATGCTGTTGCCTGCACCCTGTGGTCATTCAAACGCAAACAGCGCATAGTGGGGTCTTCCAGTTTCTCTTAGGGAGAGGGGAGGCTGCCCATTTGGTGCAGCCACAGGTGAGGTGCAGATGACTCTTCCTATTCTGCAGAAGAGGAAACGTGTTGGAAGCCATGGAAGCAGGACTGGAACTGTCTGATTCCAGGGCCATGAATCTCCCAGCAAAGAGTGGCTTTGGCAGGAGGTAGTAGCTCCCCAACAGCCTACATTTCAGTACTCACAAACTGGCAGGCCTGGGGTAAGATCCTGCACACAGATGGGTTGAATTGGTTGATATGCAGACATTCTTATTGAACTGCCTGACCCCGGAGCCCATGGTGTGCAGGGAGGCTGAGTGGACTATTTTGCTAATGTTCTGGTTTTAAGTATGAGGTGAAGCCCAGGGTTCGGAGGAGGCCGCATTTCTTCTTCACACATCCTACACTCCCTCCCACCAGCCTCCCACCCCG